CAAGATTTGTACCTAAGATGGTGTTGTCAGCGGCAGCCACTCTAAAAAACGTTTCACTATGCTTCTGTACTGGAGTACACATGACGATAAAGGATATTCTATTCTATTCAAAAGTTACAGGGACAGGCGGGAAAGTGGATGTTAGGAATGTTGAATCAGTCATGATCCTATTGAATGGCAGGGTAGGCTTGAGGGGCCGAACAGCCTATTCCTGTCCCTTTTTCTTATTGTATCTGTGGTCTACCAATTTGATGGAGTATCCTGAATAAGCAGTTCTGCAGCACGTTTTTGTAAATTTAAAAAATAAAAGCTATATATTCACACACACTTACCTTGAATTAAACACAGGATCAAGTACATCTGATGTCATTCACACAGCCACACACATACGTGCATTCATACACACACATCACACAGATTAAAGTAATACATTTTCACAAATCATATTGATCACAATCTTTGATCTACAATCTCCCACATGGCAGGTTTGTGGTCTTTGAATGCATTTGATGCTTTAAAGTTGAAGTGAAGGTCTTGGAAAAGGTTCATAGCAAATATTGAAGTTTCTTGTAGACAAAGAGCTTAGAGGCAGACTCTCACGTGAACTTTAAACTGGGACATGTTATGTGCTCTAACTGCCAGATATCTTACAGCTTGTTTCGAAGTCTGGTTCAGAGACTGGCTGAACTGATAGTTCTGACACCTTTGGCAGACCAGCTTGCAAACAGCTCTTAAGTGATTTGTGAAACAGACAGGGTAAAATGACAGTCAAAATGTTGCCTTTAATTAACTAAGGTATGGTGTTCCCATTAACTGCATATCCTGTGTTGTGGATGAACACTTCTGAGAGTTAATGTCATTAAATGCAAAGTCAATACAATTCCATCCCGACGATAATCAGTCTGCTGCTACCTCTGGTGGATTTAGTCTGCTTTTGGGAGAGGCCATACTCAGGAATAGATTTGGAGGGCTCTGGGACTTTGGCTGGAGTTATGATTTGGTGACTAAGCATAGATCAATATTTTATTCAATTAATCTATAGGACAGATCTTCCAGTTTTGGCAATAGCATCAGATGTTAGAAAGCGTTGACAGGGTGTGCCCTTGTTGTTTCTGGTGCTTGTGATGATGCTGGGTGTTCCTTCTGGTTTTATTCCTTTTTGGCTTTTCTGTAGCAGTTTGATACAATTGAGTGGCACCCCTGTCAATTTCAGAGGGTTGTTAAGAGTCAAACAGTGGTGTGTATCTGGAGTTGTATGTCGGCTAGACTGAATAAGGATGGTATTTCCTTCCCTAAATGAACATTGGAAATCCAGAAGAGTATCTTTTGACAATCCGATAGTTTTGCATTCAGTATTATTGAGATCTCAAATACCCTGGTGTGGAAATCAACTGGTCCAGAGCACAATAATCTAACATGCTGCTCCTCAGTTTCCCAAATTTAAAGTCAATGACTCACAAGAATTATTGAGGTCATGATGCACCACTGAACTAATGATTTACATGACACTATACATACTTTATAATCAAAGTGTTGTTTAGAAAAATAATAAATGTTTGTTCTTAGAAATAATCGTAATTTAACCCTCAGATAAACGCAGGCTGCCAGGCAATGGATATCCTGGTATCATGAGTAGCTGCCCATGGTCACTGGCCTAAAGGATTTAAACAGATGATTGACACAGCATAGATTGCCAGCCCCCAAAATAAAGTATATTAAGCTGTTGTTGGCAAATCAGTGTGTGTCAGAGGGGGGAGGAGGGGGGATGGACGGGGTGGGAGAGAAGAGAAAGAGAGAGAGAAAGAGAGAGAGAAAGAAAGAGATAGAGAGAGAGAGATAGAGAGAGAGAGAGAGAGGTAGTGTCCAGGAAAACAAGCCATCATCTTACTGGGAGTAGCCTGGAGGTTTGGGGGGAGAACAAAGACTGTTACCACCAATGACTATGAACCAACAGGGATAAACACCCCACCATTCCAAACCACAGGGGTCCACTATCTGTTTCTCAATTTTACAGAACAGATTAGGAATCAGTAAAGTGTTCTCATCTGATATGGGTCATATATTTCTGTTCTTTGTCTAATTAAGTAATGTATCATATTTAAACTGCTGCTTTTAATACACTTAATAAACTGTTTGAAAATTGCTTACAAATAGTCCACTGCCTATATTAGATAACTGTGATCACGAACACCAAAATCTAACATCCCTAAACAAGCACTTTCATTTTGTGCCACTCTCCTGCCTTCTCCTATTAACCCTGCATATTATTCCAGTTCAAATAACTGGCTAATTCTTTCCTTAATGACTTGATTGAACCAGTCTCTACCACACTTTCTGGCAGTGCAATTCCAGAATCTAGCCATTAGTCGTATGATAAGCTTCTTCCTCATATCACATTTGCTTGTTTTAAATCTGCACTGTCTCATTCTTGATCCTTTCACAACTGGGGGCATTTTCTCTTTAATTCTCTGTTAAGACCTCTTATGATTTTAAATACTTCTATCAGATCTTTTTTGGCCCGAGCTTCTTCAAGGAAAACATTCATCATGCAGTCCCTTAAGCCTGCTACACCATTCAATAAAATCATAGCTTCTCTGATTGTAACCTCAAATTCACATTCTCACCTGCCCAATAACCTTTCAACCCCTTGCTTAACAAGAATCTGTCTACCTTTGCTTTAAAAAGATTCAGGATTTCTGCTTCCATCACCTTTTCGCGGAGAGAGTTCCAAAGACCCATGACCCTCTGAGAAAACAAAAATCACCTAATGTCTCTTTAAAATAGATGACACCCGATTTTTTTCAACATTTACACCTCCCATTAACTCTTCCATAAGATGAAAGATCCCCTCCATATATATCATCTCAAGACTCTTCAAGATTTTATGTTTCAATCAAAGGAAGGATGCAAATTGTGGAGATTCTGCCCACATTCTTCCAATTTTTTTAAAATATTGGCCAGTGCCAGACAACTGGAGAATTACATATCTCACAACCAGATATTTATTTTGTAGTGCAGAACCTGAATATTGCTGAAATAACCAACTGGATCAGTGTGGAATATATTCACTGGAGTTTAGAAGAATGGGTGGGAAAGAGTTTCATAGAAACCTATACAAATCTAACAGGACTACTGAGATTAAATAAGAGTAAAGAAGGATATTCCCGCTGACCAGGGAGTCCAGAATCAGGGGTCACAGTCATAGAATACAGGATAGGCCATTTACAGGATACAGGATAGGCCACCTAGAGAGCCTATGGAACTCTGTACCACAGAGAACAGTCAAAAACAACCCTCCAACCTCCGGATCCAACGCATCATCCTCCGACACTTCCGCCAGCTGCAATCCAACCCCACCACCAAAGACATCTTTCCCTCCCCACCCTTATCTGCTTTCCGGAGGGACCACTCTCTCCGTGACTCCTTTGTCCGCTCCACACTCCCCTCCAGCCCCACCACACCCGGCACTTTTCCCTGCAACCGCAGGAAGTGCTACACCTGTCCCCATACCTCCTCCCTCACCCCCATCCCAGGCCCCAAGAAGACTTTCCACATCAAGCAGATGTTCACCTGCACATCTGCCAATGTGGTATACTGCATCCGCTGTACCCGTTGTGGCCTCCTCTACATCGGGGAAACCAAGCGAACACCTACGCTCGGTTCACAATAAACAACTGCACCTCCCAGTTGCGAACCATTTCAACTCCCCCTCCCATTCCTCAGACGACATGTCCATCCTGGGCCTCCTGCAGTGCCACAATGATGCCACGCGAAGGTTGCAGGAACAGCAACTCATATTCCGCTTGGGAACCCTGCAGCCCAATGGTATCAATGTGGATTTCAAAAGTTTCAAAATCTCCCCTCCCCCTACCGCATCCCAAAACCAGCCCAGCTCGTCCCCACCTCCCTAACCTGTTCTTCCTCCCACCTATCCCCTCCTCCCACCTCAAGCCGCACCCCCATCTCCTACCGACTAACCTCATCCCGCCCCCTTGACCTGTTCGTCCTCCCTGGACTGACCTATCCCCTCCCTAACTCCCCACCTACACTCACCTTTACTGGCTCCAAACCCGCCTCTTCGACCTGTCTGTTTCCTCTCCACCTATCCTCTCCTCTATCCATCTTCTATCCGCCTCCCCCTCTCTCCCTATTTATTTCAGAACCCCCTTCCCCTCTCCCATTTCTGATGAAGGGTCTAGGCCCGAAACGTCAGCCTTTCTGCTCGGCCTGCTGTGTTCATCCAGCTCTGCACCTTGTTGTCCCTCTAACTATGCTAATCCCATTTTCCAGCACTGGCCTTGTGTGCCTTGGCATCACATGTACACATCTAAATACTTCTTAAATGTTTTGACAATTCCTGCCACAGGTAGCGAGTTCCAGATTTCCACCATCTTCTGGGTGAAAAACAATTTCCTCACATTTCCTCTAAATCTTCTGTCCCTTAACTTAATTTCATGTCCCCGATCATTCCACCAAGAGAAGAAGTTTCTCTCTGTCTACCTCATCTGTGTCCCTCATAATTTTACACATCTCAATCATGTTTCCTCTCAATCTCCTCTGCTGCAAGGAAAATAACCAAGTCTATCTAATCTCTCTTCAGAACTGAAACTCTCCAGCCCAGGCAACATCCTGTTAAATTTCCTCCACACCTTTTTCAGAGCTATCACATCCCTCCTATAATGTGGATTCCAGAACTACACATAATACTTTAGATGTGGCCTTACCATCGTTTTATACAGTTATGGAATCACCTCCCTGCCCTTAAAGTCTATGCTATGACTGATAAAGGCAAATATCCATAGACCTTCTTAACCACGTTATCAACTACCTCAAGAGATTAGAAGACATGCACAGCAAGTTCTCTCTGATCTCTTTGGTGTTTCCTCAGGCTCTACCTTTTATCTTTTTATTTCAGCAATTATACTTGCCATTTATGTCAAGTTATCGAGTAAATTTCTGCAAGAAAATCTGAACATCCAATTCAGTGTTTTCTCACTTACCTTTGATCATGCTTACATCATTTGCACCATCTCCAATTGCCAATGTTATGGCTTTTTTGTACTTTTTCACCAGTTCTATCACTTGAGCTTTCTGAAGGGGTGTTACACGACAACAGATAACTGTTTTACAAAGACAAGCTGTTTTTAGGAATTCTAATTCCATGTCTTCCAAAGCATATGCCTGTTATTTGGATAGAAATATGCATTACCTTTAATTCAGCAGAAATTCATAATCTTATCAATATACATGATAGAAACAGACTAAAATGATTCCTTATTCAAAGGGTTTAATGACCCAATCATTGCATAGCAATGATTTTAAAGGCATCTCTCATTTTGACGACATCTCTGTAATAAGATAGCAGTCTTGTTACCTAATGAAATCACCTCAGTATGATAGCACCACAAACACATCTCCTCCCTTTCCTTCTTAGCATTCCAAGGCACTACATCTTTTGTGATATCCTGGTCCAGCCCAGAATTATGCCCATTCCGTTCCATGACCATTTTCCGCACAAATGCAGAAGATTAAACACCTGTTCTTTTAATCTCTTTTTCTCTCTTCACCATCCAAGGCATCAAACACTATTTTTAAGTAACATTCCCTATAAACTGCGCATGCACAGCTGGGCACCAGAAAATCGAAACTCACACACGGCCCATAATCATCCACACACCAGACAGTTGCACACAGAGAGACAAGTAGGAATCGATCTGAGACCTCCACGCAACATGTTCCCGATGGCTACGTACAGACAGCCGTGAATCCCAGGATCTTCCATGTGCCAGAACAAATCCCAAGCTTTCTGAACTCACTGCTCTGCCATACAATTGCTTCCAGCTCCAGACAAATTGTTAAAACTTGTGATTGTCAAAGCATGCTCTGGGAAGGGGAAGAATGTGAGATCACCTCCAACTGGGGACCCAAGTGAGAAGCTGGAGGAACAAAGCAGGATGTCCGATATAGTAGGAACTGCAGATGCTGGAGAATCTGAGATAACAAGAAGGGTCTAGGCCCGAAACGTCAGCCTTCCTGCTCCTCTGATGCTGCTTGGCCTGCTGTGTTCATCCAGCTCTACACCTTGTTATCCCAGGATGTCCGATAAGCAGGTTGCCATTCCATGCAAGTAAATATACCAATAGACATATATAAATTTAAAATATGTTCAAAAGAAAAGCAAATGAGTCTTCAAGTTCCTTAAAAAAAGAAATCCTGTGCACATTCCAAAAATGGATGTTTTCCAAGGTCATCAAGACCAAAATGCCATCTTCAAAACAGAAACACAACATGCGAATCAGTGAGGTTTTTATTTATCATGAAGCAGATAATGTCATTTGCACTATTTGCTCTGAAGCAAACGCTGGAGTTTAGTTCAGCACTGGGAAAAGAATGACAGGATACTGGACTACCTAAAACAATATTTGGGCCAAAAAGTGCACATAGATGCCATTAATTAGTTTTTGAAACCAAAGCATAGGTTTTATGAAATATTTAACGAATTTTACGAATGCTCACCAAAACACAACAAAATTGTGAGATCAGAGTGAAGCACACAGAGCACAAAAAGACAAATCTCAATATGGTGGAAGTTCTCATTGATAATGTCACACTTGCAGTAAAGATGAATGCATACTTGCTTTCTGTACAAGTCAGTCATGATTATGTATCGAAGTAGATGGCAATTATTGAGAGATAGTGCAGCAAGAATTACAACTTCAAATTTGTACAGTATATTTGTTTTGTTATACAGAGATGGTTCCTGGATGAATTGCGCAAATCATATTTTCATTACCATGATAACAGACAAAAGTACAGATCTTTCAACGCACAAAAATGTTGATTTTATACATCAATTTTCCACCAAGATCTGAGCTTGCAACAGTGCTCCATTGTGACAGCAAGCGACCTTGATGTACAAAAGATGGAGATGTTTACATTAGGTGAAGCTTCTGTTATGCTGGGAAAGAAAGTCTGTGGAAAAGCCACACTCTTGCAATGCGAAATCAAACATTTGCTGGAACAGCACTGCATTGCCAACAGGAAAGATCTGGGGATAAATGACACTTGGACACAGGTTTCAATCATGCATGATACTGAAAAGCTTCTAAGAACAGTGTATGCAATGTTCAGCAGGTTAAATGTGAAGAAAGGATATTTTGAAGATTTTGCCAAGTTATAGGATGTGATACAGTGGCATTTCAACAACTGAGTGCAGTGAAGTGGCTGTCAAGACACTTTACAGTGAGCTTACTAATGCAAAACTACAATGTTTTGGTTAAGTAGTGCACAGAGCAAGTGAATAAGTGAACCAATCTAATAAACAAATATTGCTGGGAAACGTTCACATAGCTACACAATCACGCTATATTCACAACTCTGAACGACGTTCACGGTGAACTGGAATTGCTGTGCAAATTCTTGCAGAGATGCTGTCTGACAACATTTCAGGCAATGCCATTTGCAAAGGCCAAGATCAATAAACTGAAGATTCAGTATCTAGGTGAATGCGTTTATTGGAATGATGAAATTAAGAAGGTTCTGAATGCTCTCAACTGTGATATGGGCATTGCTGCAAACCTTCAAAAGATTCAACTGCTATGTAACCACTTGGAAAGCAGATTTCCAGGAGAGAAATTATGACAGTGGCATGCATTTGATGAGGCTATAATCACCAACACAACCAATTATGAATTTGGAAAAGACAGTACTGTGGGACTGATATTGAAAAAGTCCACTTTTATACCAAACTATGATGAAGGTATGGACAAAAAAGATATATGAGGAATACTCTGAGTTCAAATTTATCGTTATGGAGAAAGTCAAGATGGGTTCCATTCAGAAATTCAGTAATTTAGTTGACTATGCTCTAAAAAGATGACCAGTTTCAAGAAATATCCATTTTTCTGGACATTTGTACAACACTTCAGTCATTATATGTTGACTGTGAGCATGGATTTAGCCACATCAACTTGATTAAGTGTAAATCCAGAAATAGATTAGCAATAGACCACTTAGACAGCTTGATGTCAATTAAGCCATATATTACATCTGGACAAAACATCAAAATGAATGCAGTATACAACCATTGAGTAACAAATAAAAATAGGCATTGAAAGTTCCCAACAAAGGATTGAATAAATTACTAGTGCCTCTTTTGGTCACGCAGTATATGCAGTGTACATAGCACCCTCACTAAACAGGTCCACAGACTTCTCAGCTGAACAAACAATTTTTTTTTATTTTAGGAAGAAGAATGCCTGTAACTGTAAAATAATATGAATGTACATTTTTAATATTTCACACTGTAAAAAAATTGGTGTATGCAGGTAAAATGCCTGTGTATGCCAACGATGTCCACATCCTACAAATGAATTTTAAAAAGTAAAATAAGATAAACACAAATGTTTAATAGCTAATAAACAAATTTTGAAAAAAAAAAACTGCAATATCACTTGCGCTCAATGTAGGCAATATGCCGCTGAAACTACTCCATGTTCCACAGAAGCCCAGAAAAAATAGCAGGAACACGGTTTCTGGATGAAGGAGTGATGTATGTGTACTTCTGTTCAAATTAGTCTATTGTATTTTCTGATCACAATGTGGACTCACCTACATTTGGGAGAACAAATACAGATTGGTGACTGCTTTGCAGAACACTTTTATTCAATCTGTAGGCACGATTCCAAACTTTTCATGGCCTTTCACTTTAATTCTCTACCTTGTTCTCATGCTGACATTTCTGTCCTTGGCTTTCCTCACTTTTCCAATGAAACTCAACAAATAACATTTCATTTTCCATGCCTTTCAGACTTAACATTAAGTTCAACAATTTCAGACCATAAATTCCACCTATCCATTTATTTTCCTTTTCTTTCATGCTTTGGTTTTCTCTTATTTTTGCTTTCAGACAGTAGCACACCTTTTCTATGCATACTTTTTGTTTTGTTGTTTCTTTTCGTCTTCATCTACATTCCCTTTGGCCAAAATTAAACCTTAAGTCATTCAATCTCTCCTGACTTCCACCCTCTCACAGACCGTCCATGTCCCTGTCCCATCCACTCCTTACTCAAAAGACTTATTACATCAATAACATTTTCCAAGGTGAACAAATATATAGTTTTTAACAGATTTTAGCAGAAAAGACTGTGAAGTTGTTTTCCTTTACAGGCTATACATTCCAGTGATTTCACATGATTCAGTCTTATCAAACTGGGGTAGGTTTGGTGCCTAAATTAGTGAAGATAAGGTAGGATCGAGTAGAACTGGTATGACATTGCGTTGTAAGTCAACTTTATTGATTTTACTCTCTCCTACATCGCTTTTATTAGGTGGTATGATGGTTAAATTGGTCCGAGAATTCTATTTTTTTAAAAAAATTGAATGGTTTCTGTAGCAGCAGCAACACAGAATGTCAAATTGAATCCTGGGTGGCATGTTGAAAATCTATGCCTGTTTACCCAGAAAAAGTGAAAGAAAGGTACTTTTTAATCAACTTGTTTGGATATGTTATGACACACCTCCATAGCCATCACATCCTAAGGTCAGGCTTGAATCCAGACCTTCGGCAGGTACGTGACCACTGCATTACAAGACCCCTAGAAAGGTATCTATTAGTTGAGCATTTCTTCTGATCTTTAACTGACTTCAGAATTTTTCAAAGTGCAATTATACCAATGTAGAATGGCAATTAGACATCCTTAAAGGATGTACACCCTGATTACAAACATTTATGCCTCAGCAGAAAAAAACAATGGGATAGATTTTATCTCCCTCTGCTTGGCAGGGACAGTGAAACAGAAGTTATACTGGATATGGTAAACTTGATTTCTTGTGCCTAATCATCCGCAATAAATTCCAGTTTTGGTTGTGGTGCCCAACTCAATTATTAATCAACTGAAATTGGTATCCAGTTTTGTACAATGGACTCTGATACTACTTTAACTGCCTATTGCGCAGATTGTCTGCTACGTACATCCCACTCAATAAAACCTGTGAAAATAATAGAACATGATGCTAAGATTAACACAAACAGAAATATCTGGAAAAACTCAGCAAGTACGGTCGTATCTGTGGGGAGAAAGTAGAATCAACATTTCAGGTCCTGTGATCCTCAGAATCATAGAATTATTCTTTAGTGCAGAAGGAGGCCAATAAACCCATTGTGTCTGTACTGGCTCCTGAAACAGCCACCCAGCTAGCCCCATTCTCCAGCCCTATCTACGTAGCCCTCTAAATTCACGACTTTTGAATATATATCCAGCTCTCTTTGGAAACCTCCTATGGAATTAGTCTTCACCACTCCCCAGGTGGTGCATTCCAAATTCTAACAACTCTCTGAGTAAGGAAGTTTTTCTTCATCTCACTCCTAGCTGTCTTGCTGACAATCTTGCAATTGTGACCTGTAGTTACTGACATATCAACTAATGGAAAAGGAATATCCTTCCTTACCCTGACAAAATTGTTCATAATTTCTAACACCTCAATAAATTCACCTCTTCAAATTCTCTGCTCCAAGTAGAATAAGCCCAATTTCTCTCATCTTTCTTTGTGTTTAAAATCCCTCATTCCTTATATCATTCTAGTAAATCTCCTTTACACTCTCTACAAGGTTTTAACAACCTTCCTGAAATAAGATGCCCAGAACTAAACACAATATTTCAAATGTGCTCTGACCAATGATTTATAGAGGCTTGGCATCAATTCCTTGCCTCTATTTATAAACTCAAATGATCCTATAAACCTACTTAACTGTTTCAATTAGCCTGGCCACTTTCAGAGAATTATGCACTTGAACCTCAAGGTCCCTGTGCTCCCGTACTCCCCTCAAATCTCTGTATCACCTCTCATGTTTCTTCTACCAAAATGTACTATCTTACATTTCTCTGCACTGAAACTCATCTGCCAGGTGTCCGTCCATTTGGCCAATTTGTCAATGTCCCTCCGAAATCGCTCAGCATCATCATCACAGTTCACTATTCTCTCTAGCTTCGTATCATTTGCAAACTTAGAGAATTTGCCCTCAAAACCCACCTTGAAATTTTTTTTATAATCAGAAAAAGCAAGGGTCCAAACGTCCTTGGGAAACACCACTTTCAACTCATCTCCAGTTTGAGAAACATCCATTTATATCCACCCTGTGTTTCCTACCTTTTAGTTAATTTCTTACCCATGCTGCCTAGGACCTATCAATCCTAATCCCAAACATCTATAATTTTCTAATGGTTCTGAAGAGGGGTCACTGAACCTGAAATGTTGACTCCAATTTCTCTCCAGTTTCTGTCAGACCTGCTGAGTTTCTCCAGTTATTCCTGTTTTTGTTTCAGATTTCCAGCATTTTGCTTTTTTGTCGAGGGTGCTAAGAATTTTTGCAAGTGCTAGGAGGGTGCCTGATAGCTGAATTCTTCCCTACTGTGTGAGGCATCATTCTTGCCTTTATGGAACCTCAGTATAAAAAATCAGTGGAGTGTGGGCTCCATTATGCACAAATATTATGATTGATTTATTGAGAATGTCTGATGGATATTCAGGAGACAGAAGATGATTCTCCAGTTTGGAAGCAACAATGGCTGCTCCCACCATTGAGAGGCATCTCCATTATAGATAGACCACAATCGCATTCATACTGCCTGGATGGGGTCCACCTATTTAGTAGCCTATTACTGGAGCCATTCCTCCTCTGCATGAACCAATTCTCACCTTTCCTCCTCCCACACCTTCAATTGAGGATATTTGGAGACTTTCCCACTGATCTCAAATCCTCCACTATACTTGTCAACAAGTTATTAGGGGGTGAGACAGCACAGCAACAACAAGCTGCACAGTAAGTCCATCTTTGTTCTAGCTCTAATTACACATTTCCACAAGATGACTGACATGTTTTCAACCTCATCATATTCTCTGGGTTAGCATGAGCAACATCATGGAAATTCTGCCAAGTTTCTCAATAATCACATTCAAATATTACTCTTCAATAAACAAAGGTAAATTACATCAGCAACAGTTTCTTACCAGTAAGTCTCCATTGATCACTAGCCCATACTCCCCATCAACGTTTTCTTCAGGTATGACAATTGGTTTCTTTGGCTGCTTGATGCTGATTTCTGTTTGGTCCTCCTTTTTCATTATTGCTGAAGCTTTTCTATGTACACAAGAGTACTAATTATGTACCAAATATATGATGAAGGAAAACTTACCAAAATGTGTCATCCTTTTGAGCACAGAAAGAGTAGTAATTTGATTTGATATAAGATATAGATTCAGTTCTCCCAAACTTAAAATGTTAAATCATTAATTTTGCTTTATACACATAGGATACAGGCATAGAAATAGGCCATTTGGCCAAACAGTTCAGTTTAGTGTTCTTACTCAACTTGAAAATTCTCCTACATTACCTAATCTAAATCAATAGAAACACAGAATATAGGATCAGGAATCAGCCATTTGGCCTATCCAGCCTGCTCCACCATTCAATAAGATATCCAACTCAGTAGTCCGTTCCTGCTTTCTACCCATATTCTTTGATCTCTTTAGTCCCAAGACTTACATCAACATCTTTCTTGAAATTCTTCAATATTTTGGCTTCAACAGCTTCCTATGGCAGAGAATTCCACAGGCTCATCACTTTCTGAATGAAGACATTTCTCCTAATTTCTGCCCTAAAAGTCGTACCCCTTATCCTTAGACTGTGACCCCTGGTTCTGGGCTCCCCAGTTATCGAGAACATCTCCTTCACAGATGCTGCCAGACTTGCTGAGCTTTTCCAGCAACTTTGTTTTTGTTCCTGATTTACAGCATCTGCAGTTCTTTGGGTTTTTATTTCGTATTTAACTCACTGCCACATCTCTTCCAGGCATGCTCACCTTGAAGAAGTTCTGCTCCTCTCTCCGACAGGATTTCCGTTCCAATCTCTCTTCTTGCCCACCGACTTTAATTTCACTGTCACTCCTGGTGTTTGACCAGGTATTTGCTAAAACTCGTTTCCACAGCCATATCACATTCCTCAGTGACTGCCTCCGGCTCAGACTCACGCCACGTGGGTTCCAACTGAATTTTCATCCCTCATGTTATGAATCCTCCCAGGATCACAGACATCTCCGTGATGTTCAACGTTCCATGGACAGCTGCTCTCGCCACACCCTGAGATCCACACTCTGCCATGCGGTGCCACATGCGGACTCTCAACATTTCTCTCCAACAGCATCGCAACGTCCTGGCTCAGGGCTGCACCACTCTGCAGTTCCACTTCATCCTCCGGCTGATTCACTGCGCTAACAAGAAACTTTTTCTTTTCCTTTCAGGCATCAAGGCCCACAAGATGCAACAACTCAAAAATACCCATGGCCCTCTGGAACCTTCCTCTCCTCACCTTCCCTCTGACTCTATCCCCTCCCCCAACACCCCCACCTCCTGTCGGGTATTCACCATCCCTCCTAACCTTCCGCTCTCTGATGCTGAATGCTCTGTACTCAGAAAAGGCCTCAGCTTTATCCCTCTGCGTCCCCACCTTAACGAATTTCGGGCACAACATGACGCTGAACTCTTCTTCCGCTGTCTTCACCTCCGGGCCCATTTCTTTGGACAAGGGTCCTCTCCCTGTCCCACAGACCCCTCTGCCCAACTCTAACACTGTCCTTCCACCTGGACCCCTCCCTCTGGCTTTTTACCTGCACTCGATCTTTTCACTGAGAATGTCAAAGTGACATTAGTCGCCTCAATTTCACTGCCCCTCTCAACAAATCCAACCTATCTCGCTCCAAACTGACAGCACTCCATGCACTCAGATCTAACCCTAACTTTGTCATCAAGCCTGCCAATAAGGGTGGTGCTGTTGTAGTCTGGTGTACTGACCTCTACCTTGCAGAGGCGGAGCACCAGCTCTCAGATACCTCCTCCTACCCTCTCCTGGACCATGACCCCACCATGGCACACCAGGCCATTGTATCCACTACGGTTATGGATCTCATTTCATCCGGTGATTTCCCCCACTCTGCTTCCAAGCTAATAGTCCCCCAACCCCACACAGCTCGTTGCTACCTCCTGCCAAAAATCCACAAACAGGACTGTCCGGGCAGACCCACTGTTTCAGCCTGCTCATGTCCCACAAAATTCATCTCTTCCTACCTTGACTCAGTCTTCTACCCCTGGTCCAGTCCCTACCCACATACATCCATGAATCATCTGACGCCTTACGCTGGTTTCAAAACTTCCAGTTTACCGGCTCCAGCCACCTGCTCTTTACCATGGATGTGCAATCCCTTTACATGTCCATTCCCCACCAGGAGGGTCTTAGGGCTCTCCGCTTCTTCCTGGAGCAAAGACCTGAACCATCCCCACCCAACACCACTTTCCTCCGCTTGGCCGAACTTGTCCTCATCCTCAACAACTTCTCTTTCAACTCCTCTCATTTTCTTCACGTAAGAGGGGTTGCCATGGGTGCCCGCATGGGCCCTAGTTATGCCTGTCTCTTTGTGGGGTACGTGGAACATTCCTTGTTCCTGTCCTATTCCAGCCCCCACCCACAACTCTTTCTCCGATACATCGATGATATCATCGGTTCTGCTTCCCTCTCTCGTCTGGAATTGGAAAACTTCATCAATTTCGCCTCCAATTTTCACCCTGCCCTCACTTTGACCTGGTATATCTCTGACTCCTTCCTTCCCTTCCTCAACATTTCTGTTTCCATTTCTGGGGATAGACTGGTCACTAATATCCATTCCAAACACACTGACACCCACAGCTACCTGGACTATACATTCTCACACCCCACATCCTGTAAAGACGCCATCCCATTCTCTCAGTTCCTCTGTTTCCGTCATATATGTTCATGAGGCCAACTTTGACAAGGGAGCCTCCGAAATGTCCACCTTCTTCTTCAACCGAGGATTCCCCAGCTCCGTTGTCGACTGGGCCCTGAACCGGGTCCGACCCATCTTCTGCACTTCCGCCCTCACCCCTTCTCTTCCCTCCCGCAACAACGATAGGGTTCCCCTTGTCCTCACCTACCATCCCACCAGCATCCACATCCAGAAGATCATCAGACGCCATTTCCGGCACCTCCAGCAAAATGTCCCCACCAGAAACATATTCCCCTTCCCTCCCTTGTCTGCCTTCCACAGGGACCGTTCCCTCGGGACACCCTGATCCACACTTCCTTCACCCCCAACACCTACCCACAGCCCTATGGCACCTTCCCCTGTAACCAGCGAAGGTTAAACATGTGCCCAGTTACCTCCACCCTCCCCAGTATCCAAGGGCCTAAACATACCTTCCAGGTGAAGCAACACTTCACCTGCACTTCCCAGAATCTAGTCTACTGCATTCGCTGCTCACAATGTGGTCTCATCTACATTGGGGAAACGAAGCGTAGACTTGGCGACCGCTTCGCAGAACATCTAGGTTCTGCTCGCAAAAAAGACCCTGAACTACCTGTTGCCTGCCACTTCAATGCACCACCCTGCTCCCTGGCCAACATCTCTGTCTCTGGCTTGCTGCAGTGTTCCAGTGAAGCCGAACGCAAGCTGGAGGAACAACATCTTATTTTCCGCTTGGGGACCCTACAGCCCTCCGGACTCAATACTGAATTCAATAATTTTAGGGCCTGAACTCTTCCACATCCCAGACCCCCACCCCACACACCAGGCCTTGTTACCACGTAGCCTGCCATTAAACACCCCCTGTTGTTAATCACTAACAATCCCCATTAGCAACTATTCACCCTCCCAGCCTGTTCGTTGGCAACTCCTTTGTCTGTCCAATTGTCTTTCTCTATCTTTGGGCTCTATCGTTTACTCCCTACCCCACCCACCTCCCTATTTTCTGCATTTAAACCAACAATTTCCCAGCCATCATTAGTTCTGACGAAGGGTCATCAGACCCGAAATGTTGACTCTGTTTTCTCCTTCACAGATGCTGCCAGACCTGCTGAGCTTTTCCAGCAACTTTGTTTTTGTTCCTGATTTACAGCATCCGCAGTTCTTTTGGTTTTTATTGAGAACATCAATCCTGGATGTCCCCTGTCTAAACCCGTTAGAGTTTTCCAGGTTTTTATGATATCCCACCAACTTCCCCCCAACCCCCATTCTTCTAAACTCCAGTAAATATAGTCCTAACCGATTCAGTGTCTCCCCATTGGTTAATACTGCCAACCAAGGAATCAGTCTGGTAAACAGTTTTTATGCTTCCTCAATAGCCAAAATATCCTTCTTCAGATAAGATCAAAACTATACACAATGATGCAGGTGTGGTCTTACCAAGGCCCTTTTCAACTGCAAAAAGATATCCCTGCTCCTAAATTTGAACCCTCTCACTGTAAAGGTCAACATACCATTTGCCTTCTTCACCACCTGCTGCACCTGCATGAAGACACGGAGCATTTTCTTTTCTCTCACATATCTAGCTCTCCTTTTTTTCCCATCTATGCCATTATCTTCAAGCACTCCCTCTTATAGCAAGCTCACATTCTCACAACTGATATAGAATTCCCACAGTGTGGAAACAGCCATTTGTCCCAACACGTCCACACCAACCCTCTGAACAGCATCCCACCCCTACTCTTTCCTCGTAACCCTGCACTTCCCATCTAATCTACACATCCCTGGACAGTATGGGCAATTTAGCATGGCCAATCCACCTAACTTGCACATATTTGGACTGTGGGATGAAACTGGAGCACCTGGCGGAAACCCATGCAGACATGGGGAGAACGTGCACACTCCACACAGACAGTCACCTGAGGCTGAAATTGAATGCAGGTCCCTGGTGCTGTGAGGCAGCAGTGCTAACCACTGAGCCACCGTACCACTCTTTCGGAAAGAGGTTATTTTCTGAATTTCCTATTGGATTTCTTGCTGACCATGATATTGATGCTTGAGATGCTCTAACTCAAAAGAAGAAACATTCTCTCTGTATCCACTCAATCAAAACTTGCTGTAAAATTAAATACCTTCATTAGGTCACCTTCTTTTAAGACAGAAATTTGTTGTTCCTTTTCTGACACAAATGCCCAAGCATTTCTGACATCTCCTTGCAAATCCTCTCTGTACCCTCTCTTATCTTACAATATTACAAACTAACAAGAATGCTAGAAGTGCATGGAGAATAGTGTGGCCTGAAAAAATTTCAATACAGGTATAAGTTACAAACAGGAAATGCTGGAGAAACATGGGAGGTCTGGAAGCATCTGGGTTCAGTTTTAGATCTGTTCTGAAGGTCTCAAAACATTAACTGTTCTGCTTTCCAAATATGCTGCCAAACCTGCTGAGTTTGTCCAGCACATTGTTTTATTTCAGTTTTTCAGCATCCACAGGATTTTGTTTTTATTTAATATGACTCTCCTACTTTTTAATTCTATTTCTCTGGAAAGAAAAGCCAAGTGCTTGACTTCTTTTTAATGGTCTTGCTAACCTATGATGCATCTTTTAGTGATTGGTATATTTACACTCCAACATTCCCTTTGTTCCTCTGCTCCAAGTAGACTTGCACCTTTCAAATAAAAAGTAGCCTCCCAATTCTTCTTAAAAAAAAAAGTGCTGATATTCAATTGCCAATTATTTGTCCATTCTACAAATTAACTTTTAATACTTAAATACATAAAGAGCCCAAAAACCTAAAGAGATAACATTCCAGATCAAATTTAAGGACAAGCTGCAGGAAACTTCCAGTAGCCATCCCATCTGAAGTAAGTGGTGCTGAGGAAGAGAATCCTTACTTTGCATATTTCTGAAAGATGCCTGTATAGTCCAATGGCATGGGAAACCATCTTAGGTGCCCACGAGTCTGAAGGGATCGATAATCCTGGTGGGAATCACCTTTTCCAGTTGGAGCATGGAGGCTTTAGACCTCCAAACCACCAAAAAAGGTAAAATGGCCGATCAACTCATTTAATAACATGGTAGTTAAAAAAACTTCTTTAAAACTTTACATTTTAGGGAGTCCAGTGCAAATTTCAAACACTATATCTAAGTCAGGCCCTGGTAACAGTTTTGCACAATGATAGATTGCAGGCTGAAGAAAATAACAAGTTTCTTCTTTCTGACTACTGTTACAACTTGGACAGCCAGGCAGTGAGGTATAAATAAAAGAAACCCAGTTATTAAATAGTTGCACGCTTTGCATATTATGCACCTCCAAACATCTCTTTCAATCTGCATGCTACAATCACTAGAGGAGCAATCACATACCAGAAGAGAAAAAAGAATAAAAGACTAAAAAGAGTAAAACTTATGTATGATGCGTACTCGTTCAGCTCATCTTGCATACTTCAAAATGGAGGTCTGGTATGATCAGCATGTTTATTTCCATATATTACATTTTTTTTCTGTTGGGAAGGCCTCTTCTTTTTCCTACCCTCGTTTGACCAAAAGATCTCTAAAAAACTATATTTTCATTCACTTTTATTTACTTGGATTTATTGTCCATTCCTAGCTGTCCATGAGAAAGTAGTGTTAAGTTGCCCTTTTGAACCACTACAGTCCATTTCGGGAAGGTACACCCACAATGCTGTTAGGAAGGAAGTTTCAGCATTTTAACCCAGCAACACTGAAGTCACCTGGCAAGTGGCTTGGAGGGGAACTTGCAGGTAGTGGTACTGATACTGATCCACTGTCCTTGACCTTCCAGATAGTAATGGTTGTGGGTTTGGAAGGTGCTGTGTAACAAGCCTTGGTGAACTTCTGCAGTCGATCTTGTAGATGGTACACAATGCTGCTACTTATCGTTAGTGGCAGAAGAACTGAATGTCTGTGGATGTGGTACCAATCAAGTGGGCAGCTTTGTACTGATTCTTGAGTGTTGTTTCAACTGCAATCATCAACGTAAGTGGAGAGTATTCCACCATATTCCAGACTTGTGCATTGCAGATGGTGAACTGACTTTGGAGAGTCAGGGGCAGGAGGTGAGTTATTTGTTTTCACAGCCATGCAATCACAGTATGTATCTGGCCAGTCCAGTTGAGTTTTTGCTTAATGGTAACCCCAAGGATGTTGGCAGTGGGAATTTGACAATGGTAATCTCACTGGATATCAAGGGGAAACGGTTAGATTCTGTCTTGTTGGAGATGGCCAATCCTTGGCATGAATGTTATTTGCTAACTGGTAGTCTGAACCTGGATATTGTTCAGGTCTTGCTGCATTTGAATATGGGCTGCTTCAGTATCTGTAGAGTTGTGAATGGTGCTGAATATTGTGCAATCACCACCACCCACTTAGAATAGAAGCTCTTCATAGAATCCATACAGTGTGCAAACAGGCCATTCAGCCCAACAAGTCCACACTGACCCTCCGAACAGCATCACACCCATTCCTCCACCCCATATTTCCCTGGACACTACAAGACATTTTTTTTTAAAAAAGAGTAGCCAATCCACCTAACCTGCACATCTTTGGACTGTGGGAGGAAACCAGAGCACCCGGAAGAAACCCATGCAGACACGGGTAGAATGTGCAAACTCCACACAGTTGCCTGAGAGTGGATTCAAACCCGGGTCCCTGGCGTTGTGAGGCAGCAGTGCTAACCACTGAGCCACCGTGCCACCCCTGGCTGATCTCATGATGGAGGGATAGTAATTGATGAAGAAGCTGAAAATGATTTAGTTAAGGAGATTATTCTGAGGGCTCTTGTGGTGCCATATTAGTGTCCCTACCTCTGAAGCCTGTGTTCAAGACCTGCCTGCACTAGAGGTGTGTCAGAACACCTCTGGACAGGCTAATGAGAAAATATCTAATTTGAGGAGCTCCTGCAGAGAGATTCTGCAGCTGACATGACAGCCCTCCAAAAAACTGCAACCAAATTCCTTTGTGCCAGGTATGATTTCAACAGGCAAAGACTTTTCCCATCAACTGTAGTTTTACCAGGAATCTTTCATGTCAAACTTGGTCAAATGTGGTTTGACGTCAAGAGCAGTCATTCTCACCTCACCTCTGAAATTCAAGTCTTTTACTCGTGTTCGTACCAAGGCTGTAACTGACCAAGGCTACCCTTACCCCTACTCTCCGTCTTTATTAGTTAGCCAATAGTCTATCCATGCCAATATACAACCTGCACTATGGGCTCTTATTAAGTAGCTTTATGTGTGGTGCATTATCAAATAAACTTTGGAAATCCAAATATATTGAAACTACTGGCTTCCCTTTACCTATCGTGCTTGTTACCTCCTCAAAGAATTCTAATAAATGTGTCAGACATAATGTCCCTTTCACCTTTTCTTCATTTTGACTTTTTAAATTTTCCCAATCCTCCAGATTTACACATGCCACATTGCACATTTGTCTTTCAACTATACACTATCCTTAACTTTCTTTGCTAACCTTCTTAGAATCCTTAACTATATGGGGCAGCATCAGTGGTTAGCACTGCTGCCTCACAAAGTCAGGGACCCGGGTTCAATTCCACCCTCGGATGACTGTCTGTGTGTAGCTTGCACATTCTTCCCGTGTCTGCATGGGTTTCCTCCTGGTACTCCTCCCACAGTCCAAAGATGTGCAGGTTAGGTGGATTGGCCATGCTAAATTGCCCGTAGTGTTCAGGGATGTGTAGTGGGTTATAAGGGGATGGGTCTGGGTGGGATGCTCCAAGAGTCAGTGTGGACTTGTTGCGCCGAAGGGCCTGTTTCCACACTGTAGGGATTCTCTGTGAAAGAATTTACACAGTAAAGTAAATTTGCAACATTGAACTCTTGGCCTTGTTTATTGGAAAAATCTGGAATTTTGCCACATGCTCCTCATATTATTTTCCAATGTGGCAGAAGAAGTCAAATTTAGTTTCATTACCTCAGTTCTACACGTACTTCTTCTGAATTGTTGCCTTCAATGATGAATATGTTTTTCATGTCTTCATTCAGCATATTACATGCGTAGCCAATATTTACAGCTGTCTCTGCAAGAAAAAAATTCTTTTCTTTTTCATAGGTCTTTTTAAAAATGCTTTTTCACAGCAATATTCCAGATAGTTACAAAGCCACAATATTCCAGATAGTTACAAAGTTGTTATTTAATACCAGGTTTATTTATTATTAAACGTTCAACTCATATCTCCAGATCATTTGCACAGGCTTCTTAATTACTAATCCAGGAAGACAATTATGCAACTGGCCCCTCCAATTAAATATCTAGAATACTGAAATAGCTGGACAGAACTCTAACAAGGGAAGACAAGATCAGATACAGGTGGGATGTGATGGGATGATGGAGTTATTAGGTCATCAGTGTCAAGGCCAACATCCCCAGCAATGAGGCACTGGCCACCCTGAATCGGTTATGATGGGTTAGGCACATCATCTATATGACTGACACAAGACTCCCTAAGCAGGTGCTCTACTCCCAGCTTCGAAATGGCAGGTGAGTCCCAGGTGAGGAAGCATTTCAGTGATACCCTCAAGGCCTCACTGTTGAAGTGTGGCATTCTCACAGACACCAAGGAATCACTGGCCCAAGACCATCCAAAGTGGAGGAGGAGCATCCAGGAAGGCATTGAGCATTCTGAGATTCGCTGTTGGGAAAAAATGGAAGCCAGGCGAAATAGTGAAAGGAGTGTGCTGCTACACCAATGCCCTACCCACCCCTTCCTGAGACCACCACCTGTCCCAAGTGTATCAATAAAAATCTAAAGAATTACGTATGCTGTAAATCAGAAACAAAAACAGAAATTGCTGGAAAAGCTCAGTAAGTCTGGCAGCATCTGTGGAGAGAAATCAGAGTTAACGTTTCAGGTACTTTACAGAACTAGCAGTTCTGAGGAAGGGTCACCAAGTCATCCTCGTCTGTGAGGGACCGCCGATGATAATACCAAAATCTTCCTTTCATTCAAATCATTAGTGCCAAGTTTAGCCTGGGGTAAATAACCACATTCCACCCATCCTCAAATGCTAGAGATCTTGAACATGGATTTCATAACAAGTTAACTTGGTCTTTTTCCCTCCTTACACAAATGTTCATTCATAAATTTTGGGAAACGTACTTCAATCATCTGTCATAACTTTTGTCCTACATTTCATACTTCTTACTTGGATCTTTTATTAGAATAGGAAAAGTCAGGAACATTGGCAATCCAATCATAAACACATCATTACATAAGAGTATTTAAAAAGTAGTGATGATAAAGTTTGCTTGCAAAACTGGAAGAGGAATACACATGTATACATGTAAGAGACGACATACATTTATTTTTTGGATCATGCATTGAAAATCAGATAAAGGTACACTGTGTTTACAATAGGTGAGATTGTACAAGGAATTGTTTGCTCCTTGGAAAACTAACTCAAGTATATGAGATAATACACTGAACCTCCCTAGCTCCTGAATGAATTATGCACTGTCAAGACAATTGAGAAAATAGGGATTAGCGTGGCAGAAATTTGATTCTCAATGTTGAGAGAAAAAGGTCAGATTCTCCAAGTTTTGAATGGTAATAACAGAATCTCATCAGTGAGTGCCAAGGGTCTATTCTTTTTGAATGCATTAGCATCCTGTTGTTACCTCATCCAGCCTCAATGAAATGCAGTTTCCCATTCTTCCAAAGCCAGATGAAAACTAGACAATGACAATGCCCAACTTGAAGGTCAGAGTGGGTAACTGCAAATCCATCTTGCCTCTTGCTTTGCTGGATCTCCATTTTAGACAGCAGTCAGAAACAACGCAAGGGACACTCAACTGGCAGTGACCGCATGCATCCACCATCAATAGACTTTGACACTGGACATGTGTCAGTCTTACTGCTCCCTCCTGGCACATCTCCAACCCACTTACAATACACTTCTTCAGTACTGAGGGTACAGAATGCACCAGCGTCTTTCATTGGAATGCTGCTATTAGGAAACCAGTCTGCAATTATTGGTGAGTCAGTCAGGGAGTTGCACAGAGATTAGTTGGGGTTTGGTCACTCACATGTTCGGTCTGTCTACTCAAATTGGTCATTTTTCTTGAGGATGTAACTAGTAGAGTTGATCAGGGGAGCCAGTAAATACGGTTTACTTGGACCTTCAGAAGGCTTTTGATAAGGTCCCATCTAAAAGATTAGTAAGTAAAATTAAAGTGAATGGGACTGGGAGTAGTTCATTGATGCAGACAGAAAACTGGTTGGCAGACAGAAAAACAAAGAGAGTAGGAATGTGGGTCGCTTTCTGAGTGGCACACAGTAATGAGTGGATTACGGTCCCAACCTGAAACGTCAGCTTTCCTTCTCCTTTGATGCTGGCTGGCCTGCTGTGTTCCTCTAGCTCCACACTGTGCTATCTCAGACTCCACCATTGGCAGTTCTTACGATCTTTTAGTGCTTAGACTCCAGATATTCACAATATATATTAATAATTTAGATGAGGTCAATAATTTCAATATTTCCAAGTTTGCAGATGTCACAAAGTTAGGTGGGAGGGTGAACTGTGAGGAGGCTGCAGAGATGCTTCAGTGTGACTTTGATAAGTTGATTGAGTGGACAAATGCATGACAGATGAAATACAATGTAGATAAATGTGAGGTTACCTACTTTGGCAGCAAAACAGGCAGGCTGAATGGTACATGGTTGGGAAAGGAGGAGGTGCTGCAAGATCTGGATCTCCTTGCACACCAGAAGCTGAAAGTAAGCATGCAGGTACAGCAGGTGGTAAAGGCAGCAAGTGGTATGTTGGTCTTCATTGTATGACAATTTAAGTACAGGAGCAGGGACATCTTGCTTTAATTATACAGTGCCTTGGTGAGACCACACCTGAAGTAGTGTGAGGTTACAATACAACTCAGCCCTCACACCCCCTCCCCGCAATAACAACCAAAACAGAATCCCTGTCGTCCTCACGTACCACCCCACCAACCTCCGGATCCAACGCATCATCCTCCGACACTTCCGACGTCTGCAATCCGACCCCGCCACCAAAGACATCTTTCCCTCCCCACCCTTATCTGCTTTCCAGAGGGACCACGCTCTCCGTGACTCCCTTGTCCGCTCCACACTCCCCTCCAGCTCCACCACACCCGGCACTTTTCCCTGCAACCGCAGGAAGTGCTACACCTGCCCCTACACCTTCCCCCTCACCCCCATCCCAGGCCCCAAGAAGACTTTCCACATCAAGCAGATGTTCATCTGCACATCTGCTAATGTGGTATACTGCATCCGCTGTAGCCGTTGTGGCCTCCTCTACATCGGGGAAACCAAGTGAGGCTTGGGGGCCGCTTTGCAGTACACCTACACTCGGTTCACACTAAACAACTGCACCTCCCAGTCGCGAACCATTTCAACTCCCCCTCCCATTCCTCAGACACATGTCCATCCTGGGCCTACTGCAGTGCCACAACGATGCTACCCGAAGGTTGCAGGAACAGCAACTCATATTCCTCTTGGGAACCCTGCAGCCCAATGGTATCAATGTGGCCTTAACAAGCTTCAAAATCTCCCCTCCCCCTACCGCATCCCAAAACCAGTCCAGCTCGTCCCCGCCTCCCTAACCTGTTCTTCCTCCTACCTATCCCCTCCTCCTACCTCAAGCTCCACCCCCATCTCCTACCTACTAATCTCATCCCGCCCCCTTGACCTGTCCATCCTCCCTGGACTGACCTATCTCCTCCCTAACTCCCCACCTATGCTCACCTTTACTGGCTCCATCCCTGCCTCTTTGACCTGTCTGTCTCCTCTCCACCTATCTTCTCCTCAATCCGTCTTCTATCCGCACCCTCCCCTCCCTATTTATTTCAGAACCCCCTTCCCCTCCCCCATTTCTGAAGAAGGGTCTAGGCCCGAAACGTCAGTCTTCCTGCTCCTCTGATGCTGCTTGGCCTGCTGTGTTCATCCAGCTCTACACCTTGTTATCCCTGAAGTAGTGTGTAGGTTTGGTCTCCTTATCTGAGAAAGGATGCTCTGGCTATTAAGGGAGTGGTTACCAGACTGATTCCTGGGATGGTAGGATTGACATATGAAGGGAGACTGGATTGGCTAGGAATATATACACGAGTTTAAAGTAATAGACGGAAGAGGTGAAATCTTGCAGATCCTGTATAGTTCTAACAGGGACTTCGATGTTGTGGCCATTTCGGAGACATGGATAGAGCAGGGACAGGAATGGTTGTTGCAGGTTCCGGGGTTTAGATGTTTCAGTAAGATCAGGGAAGGTGGTAAAAGAGGGGGAGGTGTGGCATTGTTAGTCAAGGACAGTATTACGGTGGCAGAAAGGACATTTGATGACAACTCGTCTACTGAGGTAGTATGGGCTGAGGTTAGAACCAGGAAAGGAGAGGTCACCCTGTAGGGAGTTTTCTATACGCCTCCGAAAAGTTCCAGAGATGTACAGGAAAAGATTGCAAAGATGATTCTGGATAGGAGCGAAAGTAACAGGGTAGTTGTTATGGGGGACTTTAACTTTCCAAATATTGACTGGAAACGCTATAGTTCAAGTACTTCAGATGGGTCAGTTTTTGTCCAATGTGTGCAGGAGGGTTTCCTGACACAGTATGTAGATAGGCCAACAAGAGGCGAGGCCACATTGGATTTGGTACTGGGTAATGAACCAGGCCAGGTGTTAGATTTGGAGGTAGGTGAGCACTTTGGTGATAGTGACCACAATTCGGTTACGTTTACTTTAGCGATGGAAAGGGATCGGTATATAACGCAGGGCAAGAGTTATAGCTGGGGGAAAGGCAATTATGAGGCGATGAGACAAGATTTAGGATGCATAGGATGGAGAAGGAAACTGCAAGGGCTGGGCACAATTGAAATGTGGAGCTTGTTCAAGGAACAGCTACTGCGTGTCCTTGATAAGTATGTACCTGTCAGGCAGGGAGGAAGTGGTCGAGCGAGGGAACCGTGGTTTACTAAAGAAGTTGAATCTCTTGTCAAGAGGAAGAAGGAGGCTTATGTAGAGATGAGGCGTGAAGGCTCAGTTAGGGCGCTTGAGA